AGGTGATGACTAGCTGCCTTCCCTCTAGTCTTACACTGCTAAATTAGGGACGGCTAGCGCAGATAGCCCTCGTGTAGCTTTGCGCAAAATTCCAAAACAAAACAAACATAAGACATTTCTTTTGTATTTCTTTATTATTATAGTATACAAGTTAGCCACAGTGGTAAAGTTACACATGTGCCAAAATATGTCAATTTCAATATATTTTTGTACAAAAAGCATAGTATGAAGATGTTTTTTCTGATAAAAAGGCTAAAACCAAGATAACATTGTGTGAAGGGTATATGCTACATTAAGAGATTTATTTACTTTAATTTTTTAACAGTGTGAAACCATTTCAATAAAGATGTAAGATTCTGTAATATATTTTTTATCATAAACAATGTTCAATTATTTCTTAGTGTATAGATGTAGTGCATTTTGTGAAACATATATATTTGCTAAAAACAAAACTAGTTCATTTTATAGTCAAATTTAATAGATTTAAAAGATTGAGAGATGTTGTTCTGCTTATAACTTTAATAATTCAGTTCACAAGGCTACATTTAAAGATGTTTTGAAAACTTGGTTAAATATTCTGATATACAGTTTATAGGAAGTTTTTGAAATGTAGCATGAGAGTTTTGTAAATGTTCAAGTTGTAAGAACAATAAAATAGGCAGTGTTTTGAAGTCAGATTATAAGATAATTTTGAAAGATTATATTTGTTATATTGTTTTTACAACATTGTTGTATCATCATTAGCTAATATTTAAAATTTGCTTATAAACCACCATCACCATTAATGTAGTATATCTTGCCTTATTAATAAGTATTGTGGCTGTTTTGCTTATGCAGGATTCCTCCGAACCTCCGAAGCCCAGTGTACTTTGCTGGAATCACACAAGGAGGTACTGAAGAGTGGCAGTATTTGTGGAATTGTTACCAGAAATCCACTACACCTTCAGAGAAAGAACTGATTTTGAGTGCTCTTGGTGTGACAACAAAAACTAGACAGCTAATGACGTAAGACATTACTATTTTAACTTTGTCATTTAAGAAATAAGCACAAACATAAAGAAAACTCATTTTAAAATTTGACATTTCTCACTTCTGTTTCTAACATTTGGTTCATGTGTAATGACTTGAGAAGGGCATGTAAAACAGTAAGATCCTGTTGCATTACCCATCATGCCATAGAGGAATATGTTCATCATCTCAAATTTGTGCTCGTACAAAACTGTATTAGACCATACCTTGTTCAAATGTATTCATTTGTTTTCCTTGATTTTACCATTGCCTACATTTCTAAAAGGTCCAGTAATCATGAACCACAATAGTGGTTCATAATAGGGTTCACCCAGGAACTTCATAAACATTCTAATAGAACATACAGGCAAAAACCATTTTAAAAAGCAGGCTTGTTCTTGAAACAACACTCAAAGCCTTCTGTACCAATAGCCAAGGCTGCTAAAATATTGATAGCAGCAAAAAAGTTGATTTTCCAATTGTTAGACAAAATTCATCCATTTGTTATTCATATTATTCTTGTTTCACAAGCCTACAGTAAAAATGGCTATAAGTATTTTATTCAAACCTAGGCAAACCTACTAAAAAACTTGCACAGGACATAGGAATAATTTTATGTTGATTCTTGAAAGAGAATGAGAGATTTTATCAGTTTTTTCATCACTACTGGCCAAGTTTCTCTTCAAAGCCATCCAAGCACCAAAACCTACAGCAAAAATGGCTAGGTATACAGTGCCAAAATCTGTGAACAGCTACTAAACAAATTCCTGTGAAGGTTGTAGGGCTATTTTTGAGTGGATTCTTGAAAGTCGAGATTTCCACCCTCTAGAATTTTCTAAATTCTTCTTTGCTACCAATATAAGCTCTTTTAAGCTATTCAAGTATCACAGAAATGTAGAAACCATTTAAGTACCATTATACTAGTCAGAAATGCTTCATTTTATTAGAGTAAACAATGTTTATATTTGTAGCTATGTCTCCAGCTTTATTATTATTAATTGATTATAGATAGCTTTTATATATGGAAACATCGGCACATGTAGATACGTAGATCTTGAAAGTCGAGTTGTTCAAAACTTGAAAATAGCGTTGATAACTGGATCAATTGTTGGTTGAAATTCTTTTCTTTCACTCGTAGTTCTTATGGATGTAGGTACATGTTGTTTAATTCTGTACTGCAATCTTTGTGAAGTGCGACCTATGTACCGACATTCAGAGTGGCACTAGAATTCATAAATAACCATACTTTTCTGTGTGGTAGGTATCGTGCCACTGAGAATGTCGGTACATAGGTCGCACTTCACAAAGATTGCTGGATAGAATTAAACAACATGTACCCACATCCATAAGAACTAAGAGTGTGAAAGAAAAGAATATAAAAGCATATGAAAGCTATCTTCAAGTTTTGTACACCAAAGAAACTTTTCAAGTATTTCTGATTCATTATAGTTTTATATGCCACTATGGAAAAATTGCTAGGACAATAGTAATGAATGCAATATTGAGTATGTCATAGGGTAGTTTTAAAATTTATTCAAACACCTTACTTTTTTTGCCCTGAATAATTTCTCTAAGTCCTTCCACAAATGAAAAAATCCAGTGTTTAACTAATGTGTATTATTTAGAAAATTGTTTCTTGAGATCGCTGTTGTACTTTGTCTCTACATGGTTTTCTGCGACTATTTCAGTGAGTTTTCTAACAGTAGATTATTACCATAGAAAATTTTTCTGCTCTTGTGAGTGGTGATTTATTCTACTGATTTTCATACTTTGCTTGTTAAATGCATGTTTATATGAAACCTCAGATACAAAACCACCTGGCTCAGTAAATAATTGTTGGGTGTATTAGCTAGCTGTATTATGTGGCTGAAACCAGAATTTTATGTTGTATTTTTTTCTTCTATTTCTAAAAACTAAAAGGTATAGATTGATTCAAATTTTTGACATGAATTTGGATTAGATGTAAAACAATACCTTTTACATTTTTATTCCTACAGAAAGCCAACCAGCTTATATAATAGATTATTGAATATTTATTTCAAATGATGCTATATTAGGTATAAAAAGGAATTACTGTGTTATTATGAAATAAAATATACTTTGGGTTTTGACTTTTAGCATTACTATCATACAAGAAATAGTAGCAGTGAGAACTAAGAACTTATCTTCTCCTCCACTCTCTCTTTGACTGAATATAGCTGTAATCTAGGAAAAACTAGATTTTACCAACAAGTTTTTCTGCATATACTCTTCCTTGATTACATTATAGTTATAATAAATTATTTTTCAGGTATTTTAAATGGTTATATGTTAAAGGTTAATTTTTTCAACACATAGATACTTGAAGTATTCCTTGGATTCTAGTAAAGTTCGTGCTCAAGATACGGCAACAATCATTAGCAATGCTGCGAAACATCCTGCCTTTCAATATCTTACATGGCGTTTTTTGTACAGCAACTGGGACAAAATATTTGAAAGGTTTGTCATTTATTCTTTTTTTTTCTTTTCTTTTTTTTCAAAGTCAGTGTAATCATAAGCCATTATTTATATGTACATAAACCATTGACAGGTGAAAAGGTTTAATTTATCATTGAAGCAAATATAATTTTTTTTGCTGTAGACTTGCATTGAAATGTATACAAGATCTGTCTGAGAAAAAACAAGTTTTACCATAATGCATTGCCTATTGGACAAGTACTGGTTTTTTCATATTGTTCATTCTACCACTAGAAGAACATTTCAGATAGATTTTAAGGGAGTGAAACAAGTTCCTGAAAATTCTGAACTGTGGAAGACACAAACATTTTAAAATGTATACTTCTAAACCTCAAACCAAACTACGAAAACACAGATAAATACATATATCTTTAATTCACGAACAATCATATTTAAATTAATGAAAATTATCTTTACTTTAGTATGGAAATGATGCTCAACTTTATTCTTAAGAAAAACTGAGTTTTTGGTTCTAAACTCTCTGTATGAAATTTAGCAGTTTTGCCTGTAATAATACCACTTCAATTTCTAGCATGCTAGCTTTTTGAATGTTCAGGGATTGTATTTATATGGTACAATAGGCCAGATTAAGATGTTGAGATGCATTAACTGAGATATTCTCCTGATGTCAACACACTTCCTTAAGCTAGAGAAATACTAGGATTATGCTTCAAGCTTTTTTATTTATGTATCTAATTTCCCATCTGCTATCATTCTTGTACTTTCATGGTTTTACTGAGGTATATGTTGCTATCAACCCATTAGAATCTTTATCAACTACTATAGTTGTTCTTCAGGGTCAGCCAGAGTTTTTCCAGATTACTGAGACTTGGCCCAAATATTGCTTTTGGGTAGAGATGCAATGTTTGGTGTTACCCATAACCTTCCATTTGAATTACTTAAGAAAAAATTTACATTTAAGCTTCAAAATGAAATTCTTGGTTAAAAAGTTCGTGTACTTTATTCAGATACAATAGTGTGTAGAAATACACAACTAATCTTAAGTATTTGTTGAGAAAGATAAACAATCAATGTTACTTAACTCTTTCAGCATGGGCTCAGTCTTAGGGACTGACCTCATAACCATTTTGTGCTTGTTATAGTTTTCATGCTATAACTTAAATTGCTAAACATATCTTACAAAAGTTTCCAGATTACCAGTAAAAATTACAAGGCTTTCGTACACAAAATATCAGATTTTTTTTGTTAAGTTTTAAGATTTTTTTAGTTATGTTTTTCTCATGCCTTTTTTCTTTTGGAATGTTTACTATCCAATATGCAAAGTAATTTTGATTTTAAGAGAAAAAAATACTTTTATGCATCAGAAAAGTTTTCAAATTTCACGTGCAAAATCTTTATAACCTTCAGATAATTACCAAACGTTTTTTTAAGAAAAAACTTTATATCTGTTATTTTCACTATCAAATCTATGTACGGGTTTGGTTGATTTGAATGAACTTGTAATCACCATAAAAAATTAGGAAATAAATATAAATTGTGCTTTTTTCATTCTAGAATGACTACAGATTATAACACAAAAACACAAACGTTCAGTATAAATAGCTTAAATATCGTAACATTATACATTTATGTATATTTATTATTTTTAATATATTGACCTTTTCAGCCATGCCGGGCTAACATTAGAGAAGTTGCCATGACATGGTACATGTGCACTCATGTTACCATATCCAAAAATATAAAACTGGCCTTTAAAGTGACTTGTCTTGGCTCTGTTTTAAAACATAGAACAGTAAATAAAGAAGTATAGCAAACAATTATCTCTTCTACTTATGAACTTTGTACTCATTCGCTGCTTGCCGTAGGTTGCTAAGCCTTATCAAATTTTGCACGTGGAGGAATCGAAATGAAATAGTTTTTTTTAGGTTATATATATATATATATATATATATATATACACATTTTGAAATAACCAAAAATCATTAATTACTATAATCAATACAGCATTTTACAATAATTTATCAAGCTTAGTAACTAAGCTGTATTTGTGTCTAAAAAAATATTAAATTTTGAGCTTACTAAAGTTTTACTTTCTGCTTGGAATCTTGTATAAAAAGAAAGAGTTTCATATCTGTTTATTTCAAAATGGCTGAGAAAGCCACGAAGAGGACATTCTGAGTTCTTGATTGGTTATTCACATGTCATAGACAGAAGTAGGTGTACCTAAGCAAATGTTTCTAACAATAGAAAGAGGTGGGCGTGGCCACTGTGTTTGAGTCAGTAAAAAGAAATGATAGGAGGTTCTTATCTTATAGTTTGTCATTATCTCTAATTTGAGTTCCTAATTCATAAGAAACTATAGACTTTGTATTTGAACATCACAAACATCTAATTTTGAACCAATGTTGCATTCAACATACCACGTGACACAAAAAATCGATATTTAGGTGGTTTTTTTTAGTACTTACAATTAAATTAAGAAATTAACTAATGTATAATCCAAACTGTAGTATTATACATTAGTTAATTTCTTAAAATAGTAGTTGAATAAAATTTTGAATGCAAGTCAACAAACGTGATGGCATGGCTGTAACCCATGTCAATAGGGTTAAAATCAGTCTGGCAGTGGTATGAATAATTTATATGTATTAAATACCCAGAATTATTACAAAAATCTTAACCTCCAACATCTTGCTAAATGTGTACTCAGCATAAAGTTGATTCTTACTTCAGCATTAGTGTAATATAAGAAAGAGTTTGATCAAAAGGCTTTTTTACTGCTTCTTCAATTGTGGTCAGACTTATAGAACTAGGAATTAATTACATCTGAAACTATGTCAAATTTCTGATGGTCAAACCTGTAGTTACATTTAGATATTTTAATATTTTTGCTTAAAAACCCTTAAATGTTGTTGTGTGTTTAAAAAAATCTATATTTGTGCTGTATTTGCAATACTCTTGCTTGAATGATATTGAGCAAACTTATTGAATTGTTATTATCTTCTAATCATTGAATGTTTACATAGATTGCTTTGTGCTTTCATGAAAATTGGATTACATTTTTCTAATTTCTACCAAGCCCATTTTGTAAAATTTAATGTTTATATGTCAAGAGATGAACCATTCACAACAGTAATTATTCTGATAGCTTAAGCAGATGTTATCCTAATGTTGTACTTTCATATTATATGCACTACTTGATATTAACTACTGATCAAAGCAAGCTACCTACATAAATCAGAACTAAAGATCAATCCAGTAATGAAAATTGCTAATTTAATATAATGTTCTTACACTTATTTATAATGATTAGTGTGCATTGTTTCATCAGTTGGGTACCCTTACAGTTAGCAATATTTTTTTACCATAATCCATAATCCTTGAAGTTCAACCAGATTAGAAGATTTAGGCTAATCCTACATTCACACACTAAGCTAACAATGAAAAATTATTTTTATATTAAAAATATGTTAAACATTCTTACCAACACTGTTAATGAAAGTAACATTAGGGAAAGAAAAACTATAACTTGCTTACAGAACACATGAATGCTAGTGGTTTACTTTCTTGTGGCAACTACAAGGAATAAAGAAAGACAAACTGTAACTTGCTTACAGAACACATGAATGCTAGTGGTTTACTTTCTTGTGGCAACTACAAGGAATAAAGAAAGACAAACTATAACTTGCTTACAGAACACATGAATGCTAGTGGTTTACTTTCTTGTGGCAACTACAAGGAATAAAGAAAGACAAACTGTAACTTGCTTACAGAACACATGAATGCTAGTGGTTTACTTTCTTGTGGCAACTACAAGGAATAAATAAGGACAAACTATAACTTGCTTACAGAACACATGAATGCTAGTGGTTTACTTTCTTGTGCCAACTACAAAGAATAAAGAAAGGCAAACTTAACAGGATGGCTAGAAAAATAATGAAGTGATATACTTCATAGAACTTTATTATCTTTGAATAGAAAGTCCACAACAAATAACGATAAAAGAATTCAGAGGGAACTCCAAGTAAGCGGCAGGTAGTTATTTTTTAAACTCTTAACATTTTTGGACTGTTGTAGTGAAGTGTGTAAGAAAAAGACCACTCTATGTACACTTGTTGTATTAAATGTTGATCATGAGCAACCCCTTAGTGACAGAGCAGATGTAAGGATAGACCATTACTACCATGTTTAGGTAGTATGAATATTATTTTTAAATCTTTATTTTGAAGTTGATTTTCGTGTTACTGGCATAGATTTCATGTTCCTTGAAAACCTTGACATCAGTATACTCAAAAGTTAATATAATACTCCCTAAACATGTCTTGTGACTAATGGAAGCCTATTAACTCCTTCATTTTACTATAGATTTTGGGTATATGCTCACGGAAGTCACAAAAACTTGGGGATATTTGAAAAAATGTCAGTGTTATCAGAATGCTTGGAAACATGACTGTCTCTTTCAGTGATATATATAGTGTGTTAGATACGTATATTTGTCCTTTGTCCAGACTAAATTACTTCCTTGACCCTCTCGTCTCTACACACGTCACGAGGTTTTAGTTTATCACACTCAAAATTTAATTAAAACACTTTCTTTTCATGGTATACCAATAAATATAGCATACAAATGTAGCAGATAATCCACAATAGTAATATATAAGTTTTAAGTTTTTCCTTTTAGAAGGCAATATTTAAAACAAGTCTTGTGTGAGAATTGTGACATTTGCTCTTTAGGCATCCTGTCTTCTCTAATTTACTTACCACTCCTCCAAGAAGTACAAAATTTATTGCAAATTTCTTACAATATCGTCATTGCTCAGGCAATGCATAATTTTTATAGCCTTCAATCTTATTTGGTTACAGAGTCATCAAATAGAAAATCAGACCCCTCCTGCCACTCCCACCTGTCTGTTGGATATGTAAGACTGTTTAGTGTAAGCGTTATTATTTAGTTTATTTTGTGATTTAATATTTATTGATTGTTTAGTTTTGATGACAGCAGTGTTGAAGATTGATTGTTCTAAAAGTGTTGGTTGTGACAAGTTTTGTTACATAACTTTGTACTAATCATACCTTGTGTTTGCAATTACATTGTTGTCTAGGCTTTAGTAATATTGTTAATGTCACATTACTCGAATCTTCAGTGTTTTTCTCATTACCTCAACTGAATGTTGTTACATTATACCATCACTCGCATAGTTTATAGAAAATTCTAGGCCTCAATTGTGCAAGGTATATATATATATAGGTGGCCAAGCAAGTTAAATGAAGTGAAGTTAAGCCAAGCAAGTAAAGTTCAGTCATAAAAAAGAAAATGTGAAGTTAGCCGGGGTGTGAGTGATTAGCCATAACAGGCGATATTTTAAAGTGGGTTTCACAGTTTAATGGAGATAAGAATAATAATTTGCTTTTCAAAGGGTGTTCTAAAGTAATTGAACCTGTCTGTGTGGACTTTGCTGAAAAAGAAAGAATTATTTAAAGTTCAAGATACAACTGTGGTAACCTATGGAGTAACATAAGTGAATATATTGCAGATGTACACTGAGAAACAAAGTAGAGAAAAATAATTTGTATTGTCAATTGGAATCTAAAGTATTTGAATCAACCTGAGTGGACCTTTGACAAGAAAAGGGAACTACTTATAGTTTTAGATAAAACTGTGATTTCATATAGTGTAAAGAATTTTTGTAAATATGTTTGACTTAGTTTGAATATATTGTTTTAAAACAAGTGGATTGTGTGCTGTGAATTTATTGCCAACAAGTCACAGACACCTACTGTAGAAGAATCGCAGCCCACATGTACTTAAAACCTGACACTGTTGCATCCTCTTTTTCAGAATCTGCCAATAGTTCTCTTATACATCCAGTACTATAATATTTATAACCAATAGAAAACCAAGGTTTTCATTTATCAAATGATGTATTATGTTACGTTGTTTTCTGTAAAGAGAATTGTCAATTTTGCTTTGAGTTCAAGCTTGATTCCCACGGGAAACACGTCAATGAACTTAGATGAAGTTAATTGTGTAATGAACATTTGTATATACGTTTGACTTGTTTTCAATATATTATTTTAAAACAAGTGAATTGTGTGCTTTCCTTTTATTGTTGAAATGTATTGCCAACAAGTCACAGACACCTACAGTAAAGAATCCTACCCACACATATGTAAAAACCTGACAACGAAAAGTCTAGCAACTTTTGTGAAAATAGACCAAGTGTATTAAAAGTTATAGTATGTAAACTATAAAGAGTACAAAAGTGGTTATGAGGTGGGTTGATTCCACCAAAATCGTGTCGAGAGAGTTAAGCTCCCTTTTTGTATATATGTGTGTGTTTCAACAGTGTGTAACTTTATAGGAGCTTGACATCTGAGATAAACTACTACAACACATTATTGTTCATCTATAAAGTCAGGTAGCAGGCAGATACAGATAATGAAAACTAATGTTTATGAATGTAAAGAATTAATTAATAACAAATTAGGTATACAGCAGAGTTGTACAATAATGCTTGGAGATGGCTTGAATGGGTAATGAACGATGACGAAACCTTGTCAAAACGTTGTACATTTGCTGTTATGCTAAACTTGTATTAAAGTTTTTCTTCATTACCCATTGAAGCCATCTCCAAGCATTATTAGTCTCAAAGTGGGTTCCTCATCATAGAGTTGTAAAATAAATAGTGAAAATATTAACAGGCTAACTATAGCATAACCCAAAGAAAACTAATATAATCTGACTTTGACTGACCCTTGTCTCTCAAAAAACAAGCAAAAAATAGATTACAGCTTTTAGGATTTTGCTTTTACTTAACAGTAAACACAATTGTGTGGAGCATGTTTTGTACCTAAGCTCTTCATATGTATTAATTTTTATATTTTACAGCTTATGACATTTATTTATAGGATTTTACAGCACATCATGAAGAACATCCAACACATAAACTGATAAAAAAAAATTCATGGTTTACTTACAAATTATTGCTTCCATGAACTAAAATGTGTTTAGTATTTATACCCATCTATCTCTCTATATAACAATTTAATGCATTTTGCAATTTTTATTATATTATATGTTCTTCTTAGAGCTGGCAGTCAACCTTAAATGGGTTCCTGCTATAGACAAAACAATGAAATAATGTTTTTCATTAATTTAAATATGATTGTTCGTGAATTAAAGAGATATATGTATTTATCTGTGTTTCCGTAGTTTGGTTTGAGGTTTAGAAGTATACATTTTAAAATGTTTGTGTCTTCCACAGTTCAGAATTTTCAGGAACTTGTTTCACTCCCTTAAAATCTATCTGAAATGTTCTTCTAGTGGTAGAATGAACAATATGAAAAACCAGTACTTGTCCAATAGGCAATGCATCATGGTAAAACTTCTCAGACAGATCTTGTTCCAGACATTGGGAGATATAAATTCCACACCCCTGTGTGTATACACAATAAGATTAGAGAAAGCTCACGTTAATAATAAGATTTAGAGAATAAAGTAAGAATGATAATAGATATGAACATTAATGTAATTAGCAGAAACTAATGTAACTTAGCTAATGAAGTAATGTTATAGTTATTCTGAATAGTCAAACATGTAGCATTTCATTGTCATAAACACTGTTGATAGTCAGTATTGATTTTTTAATATTATGTTTAATTAAAGGGTTAATAAGTGTCATCCTTTTGTGTAATAGGAATAATCCTACTCTAAAAAATATTTTTTCAATTAATTGTGAGTAGATTTTGTCTTAAAATTTAGTGTATTGCTTTGTGAGCTAGAAAATAATGACGTGAATATATTTTGTGTTGTACATATGAATTATACTATCTTTAAAAGTCACAAATGTAGAGGAGGTATTTTCAAAACTGATGTTCTTAACATGTAACAGATTATTTTTCATCTATCTGTTTTTCAAAGTACCCTAATTAGTTTTTTGTATTGAAGGATTGGTAGTGGATCCTTTGGAATTGGAAAAGTTATTCTTGATGTGACTTCACACCTTACTTCTCAGTTTGACTATGACCAGGTATGTTTTGACTAGGATTGTTGTGATTTATATAGAAATTGTAGGTATAAAATTTATTCTTGATGTGGCTTCATATCTTACTTCTCAGTTTGGCTTTGATCAAGTAAGTTTTGACTAGAGTTGGTTTGGTGTAAAGTCACAAGAATAAGTTTTATACTTACAATATCTAGATAAATCTTAGTTCTCAGTGCAACTGTGATCAGGTAAGTTGAATAGTGTTGTTACCTTATTCTTGTGGCTTTACACCTTAGTTCTCAGTGCGACTGTGATCAGGTAAGTTGAATAGTGCTGTTATGATTTATCTAGATATTATAAGTATAAAAGCTATTCTTGAAGTGTCTTCACACCTTACATCTCAATTTGACTGTGATCAGGTAAGTTTTGAATAGTGTTGCAATGATTCATCAACATGTGAATACAAGTTTTCTGTATATGCACTTTTTTTATTTTGTACCCAATATCACCTTGTACTTTGAAATTCATTGTATAAATTTGTAATTATTAATGAATTTGACAAGAATGAAAAATATTTTATGAAAAGCTGAAATTAGTTGCTTTGAGTTGAACATATAGAAAACTGCTCTTTGAAGTGAACAATCTTAACATAAGATGTCTATTCATTTTCACCATCAATATTTAGGTATATGTATGCATGCACATACCTTTTCTAACTTTGAATAAGGTTAAGATATTTTGTGAGTGTGATTTAACATTGAATATAAAAAATGCAGAGTTTCTGTATTAATGAAAAAACATTCAAGTGTTTTGAAACTGAAAGTAATGAAGCAATTAACATTTCTTTACATATCAAATTTGTTATGAGTAGAATCTGATTGTGAAAATTATAAACTGTTTTATAGAGCCATAAAACCCTATTAATATCAGTAAACATCTTTCAGATGTCGAATGCACACCTACATATCACATTTCAAAAGTTAAGTAATAATAATTATAACTTTATTTCAACAATTTTTTACTAAACGGTATTTTAGAAATGATATTTTGTCATTTTATTACATTTATTTAGTATAACTTGCAAAGAAAAACTTAAAAAGTGTTCAGATTTGCATTTATGCACAGCTTCACGGAATCCCATCAGTAAACAACAGACTTTGATAACTCGTGTTGAAGTTACTTTTTCCCATTACAAAGCACATGTTTTTATTTGCTGAGAAACTATCATCTCTTGAAAATACAAGTAACAAGTCTTGTATCTTTCTTCTGATTTTCCTTTTCTGTCTGAAGATATATTATTACATGCCTCCATGTGCATCACATGCTTTGAAGTTAAAAGGCTGGAATAGCTACAGGCAAAGTTTAAGTGCCATTGGAGAGAGCAGATTCCAAACTGACTGTGTCAGTGTAGAGTGAATAAAGTGTTTTGGGAAGTAATTTATGGTTTTAAAGAAAGTGATTAGATGAAACTTACATAGAGAAGAACAGTGGAATTTAGGTTGAAGCTCAGAAGACTTGAAAATAGACCATAGATTTGGGAATTTTTTATACTTTCCTTAGCTGTTCTTTTTTATTGCTGAAAATGGTCTTGTATTAAATTACATTTGTTTGAAAGTTATGGCAATTTTCTCCTGTGATAAGACATCAGGTAAGACTTGTTAGGTTTTAGAGAATACAGCAGTTATTGCAAAATATTTTTGGGACTCAAATCATTATTTATTGAATACTATTGTTAAAGTTTCTCATGTTTAAACAATACACAAAATAAAAGAACATATAATTAATTGAAAACCAAGTACATTGTTACCTATTCTGACACCATTTTAAAAGATCAGTTCCTGTAGGTTTTGTACTATTTATAGCCAGAAGTGGTGATTACTGCAATCAGCAACATGAGGAAATAGTTTAATGAAAATTAGTCAAGTTGAAACTGACTGGATGTATAAAGTCTAATCAAAAATACCTTAGGTGGGGAGAAAAAGGTGTGGCCAAAAAAGGATTGAGCATGTAACTTAATGGAATAAATTCAAAATTACTAGCCAAACTGGTAGCTACACATATAGCATTGATAAGAATTTTACAGCAAATATTAATTCATTAGTTAGCTAGGCCACATTTTTTGTTCAACTTGGAGCATGATGGTGGATAAAACAAAATATGTGGCCTAGCTAACTAATCAATGAATATTTGCTGTAAAAGTCTTATCAATGCTATAAGTGTAGCTACCAGTTTGACTGCCAATTTTGGTTTCATTCCTTTAAGTTGCACACTCAATCCATTTTTGGCCACACCTTTTTTTTCACACCTGAGGAGTTTTTGATTAGATATCATGACTTTCCGCCAGTACGTACCAACAAACCACAGCAGTAAGAAAGTGACACTTGATAGTACTCAACTTTAGCTTTAGGATTACAACCTCACTATTTGGAACAGACCTATACTTTACAGAGCCAACCAGATTCTTTAAAATATATGGCGATAGTTTTCCTATTTAAAATAGTGTTAATAACTTCCTTTATAGTCACACCATGGAATCTAGATTAACAGTTTCTTGTCATCACCTGCATGCACTTGGTACAGCCGTATCAAGCATCACTATTTACGATAATTACTTAAGCTAATATCATGTGATGCTAAACACTCATTATTTAAGAGAATTTTGTAAAATTTAGCAAATTTTTGTTTAATAGTTGGCAATGAATAATAACTGTCCAGCCATATGATTCTTTTGACAATTTGAGCTAGAAACTCTTAATCTAGTTTGCTTGGTCTAACCAATACAATATCTGCACATCCTTTCACCCTTTAAATCAGTTGCCTTTAATCCAAATAACAAAAAAACTAAAAATGGTCCACTTTTTCTCTTAGATGAAGTTGCAGTAAAAATTTCAGACCATTAGCTCACATGACTTTTTGCATAGGCGTGTGCAAACATTTTGGTCAAATTTTACATCTAATTTTAGGCTCTAAAGATCTATCACTGTACCAAATTTGAAAAAAAACTCCATAAAAGTTAATTATGCTTTTCTATTAAATACAGTTTCCGTACTTTTGGTGAGAAGAACTCCGGGATATAATCAAAATTGGAAATTTTATATCTCATGTATTTCTTAATGGATTGCCTTGAAATTTGGTATGTGAAGTAAGAGTCCTGTACAACACATTCATGGAAAATATGTGACAGTTTGGATTACCACAGTTTGAGCTACAGAAAGTGGAAAATTGCTAAACTATCACTCCTGTTAATAACACACAGTGTATCCTGCAGGTTGTTTTGGCCACAAAACATTACAGTGTGTCTTGATAAAAATTTCAGCAGATGAACAATAAAAAAAGTACAAATTTTAATGAAAGGGAGACTTTTGAATACTTTTATAAAAAAAAAAAGTCTCTTGCAATAACATTTTGGAAATTTCTTCACATAAAAACTGTGATAGAAAAACTAAATGAAATTATGTGATGTTCTAAAACTGAAAGTATATATATTGTTTAGTAAGTTTTGTTTTGGTTATATGCATCTTTGTTAAATACCTCCACTGTGAGAAGACAAAAATAAAGGGATATTAGTCACTCACTCTGATTTTGAAAGGGTTAATTCAAGTGTTAGGTACTAGTACCAGTAATTGATAAAGGTAAACATAAGCTTGAAATTTTCAAGGCTTTTATATTCATAGATAAATGTTGTTGTTTTCAAATTCTGTGTCCTTATATGTTATCTGCAACATCCCATATATCACCTTCATGAAAAAAATATAAATTTAGATTTTTTTAAAGTAATTTTGAAATATGGATGCTGTAACATTGAAGATGTTTTCCTGTTTGTAGGTGAAAAGTTTCTTTGAATCCAAAGATGTTGGATCTGGAAAGCAAGCAGTTCAACAAAGTCAAGAACAAATTCAAGCTAATATCTACTGGAAACAGAAAGTACAGGCATCAGTTGTAAAGTGGGTAGAGAACAATGTTTAGGAATATTTAATCACAGAGTTTGTATTCAAATACAATTGAAGATTATAAGTGGTTGAAGCAACATCTTAAAAATGAACTAACCATGTGGGCACCTATAATGTAGATTATTGTTATATTTAAATGCTTTTTATATAGAAACACCCATACAAATTGTTTGTAAGGTTCCATATAAATAACAGTCAATTCCATAGAAAGAAAATAGACTTGAAAATGTAATTTTTTAGGAGTTTGATTCAATAGTTCAGATATGTTTGTGGTAGTTTAGCATATATGTAGGAAGTTTACATATCATAAGAAGTATCAATATATTAATAATCTTACCTTTTACTACCCCTGTTTCTGTTCAGTCTAGTGTTCCACCTTAATAGAAATTCTGCTCTATATTATATAGTAATATATTTCCTTTGAATATTACAAACTACTTTGTTAGATTTTTGTAAAATACGAAAGAAACTGAAATTTGTGCATTGTGTTTGGTTTCACAGTTATTGATTTCAGTGTTTCTTGTGTGTTGTGTTTGGTTTCACAGTTATTGATTTCAGTGTTTTTAAGCTTTAAATGTCATAACACTTTTAATTTTTTCTCTCCATCTGGCTTTTAATAGTGAATTATGATTTGCTTTGGTGATGTAAAAATTAATATTCTTGTATATTTCATATTTGTACATTGTTTTCAGTAGCTGAAACTTTTAAGCTAACTGTTCATGCTCTCACCATTAAAAGCATCACTTGTCTGTTTTAGGTCACTCTTGCTACCACAAACAACAGATAGTTGTTAAAGTAGTTATTTCTTTTAGCTATGATTCATTATTACTCTTTTCACATCCCTCTATATTAACACCTTTGTTCCAAGTAAGCATATGGCTTTCATAAGTGAACAGTATTGTGGTAGAATAATTGTTTCCATTAGACATAAGTAATGATAGGATTATTCTGTTGCACAAGTGGTGATATTTTTTATTACATAGACCATTACATTTCTGATGATCTGTACCTATAAGTTTAAAAGCTTAATTCACGTGTGACAGTCCATTTCACAAAGAACACAACAATGGTAAAAATATTGTTACTTTATTCACAACAAGAGTAATAAAAAACCTGTACAACAGTGGAAAGAAGAAAATAAATTAGAACACACTCTCAACAATTGTAACAGTAAATAGTTATGCACAAATCTAAATCACTCTTATAAATGCGTTACATAGATGTATAATATTTAGTTAATATTTATTAAAATTCAGTGCAAGGTGTATGACATTAGAAAATAAATAAAGCAATTTAATAAGAAAGTACAAGATGTCTCACCCTGACCAGGTGGACACATCACTAGGCTTTGGAAGTATGAATTGTGCCATGCCAGAACTTTAAAACACTGAAAACATTTAATAAATGACAACTGAAACTATGTTAACTGTAATAACATTAATTAACAAAAAATGTTAATACATTTATTAAACATTATTAATCTACAAAATCAGAGTGGCAGTTATAAGAAATACTGTATATATAATATGTAAAATGCAATGAGAATTACTTAATGAGACTCCTCCCATTAATGACAAACAATGGGAGCAACACACACAATAAATGGTTACAATTCATGATATGAAAATGACCAACAGTTTCACTGCATCAATTAATAAAATGAAACATACTAGAGGTGACATTTCTTGTTAGAAAATAAAGGCAACATAAAATAAACACTTATGCCCTCTTAGACAAGCATTGATAACTCAAACTTATTTTCACTTTAGTTTTGATTAACTGTCATCAGATAATATTCTCTGAAACTAACCAATCACTTCATTGTTACTGAAAATATTAAATTTTATGTACATTAAATAGATACACGCTAGTCAACATGAGAACTGCTTGTTGCTATTAAATTTTGAAATGAATATCAATGTAAAAATTCTTACTTATAAAAACAAATCTTGCATATGAATAAAGAGGGTAAATTTTCCTCTGTCAAAATTACAACACCTGACAGTTACTTTTGGACATCTCTGGACCCATATAATTTTTAGTTGTATAAAAAATACCACTAAGTAATGTAAAGTTGTTGTTTTTTTATTGTATTTAAGTTAAAAGTTGGTGAAAAGCATACAAGTATGTTTAATATTTTGTATGCATAGCAATGTTGTTGTTTCAAGAACTAATAAGTTGTGTTGACTTCATAAATATAAATGTAAGCAATGTTAAATGGAATCATGGAATAATTTATAAATATTTGTTAATTTATTAGAAAGTATCAAATATCCCATCTTATTAATACTATTATATCAAAGATGTATATACTATAAGCACGTCATGTCTGAAAACATTTTTTAATTCTTCTGCTAGTTTTCTTGAAAGTCAAATTAAATTTGCCTATTCTAGAAATGTGATGATGAAATAGAAAATGTAACCATGGTTAAATGTTGAAAATATAACTAGAATGTATTTTCCTTTCAAAAATCTACAAATAAATGAACAATTTTCTGTACTTTCATATTTCTAATTTTTTGAGGAATCTTTTGAAAATCAAAGTTGCCAGGTTGAGCATTACTTGTTAAAATGTTCTTTGATGATAAAGTTAAAACAGGTATTTATATGTTTATGATAGCATCATAAGAAATGTATTATAAAGTAAGCGTGTACTATATCTGTGACTTTATGGACTTAAAAAACTTCAATTTAGATACCAATTAAATTTGCAAAAAGAGGCTAGGTGCATGCATAAATGAACAGTGATAATTTTAAGGGATAACTCATGTTTCTCTTCGTGACTTTTACTTGCAAAGTGAAAAACACATAGCTTTAGGGTTTTCAAAAGTTATGAAACTACAGATGAAATCCATCACTAGCATTGTTGTATAACCATATAAGTGTTGTATTTGTCATGTTCTATGATTTACCTAACTTAAGCTTCAAGAAAATTTTATTACCTACAACGTGAAAATTGTATACTTCAGTAACTTTTGTTTCTAAATGAATATGTAGCATTTAAATACTGTTGTATATATCTAGGAGGAGATAAAATATTCTGTTACTATTTTTTCATTTCAGCTATTCATTTTAATTTCCTTCATTGGCTCATAAACATTTCTTATATGTAAATCATAACATTCATTATGCTGCCTTTAAATTTTTTTTTTCCATTTCATCTATATATTGTTATATAAGGTACTTCCCTCCTCTCACGAGATTAGCTATTCTTGTTCATTGCTGCCCTCTATATGTGAACTTTTTTATTACACATGCCCCAAGCCTTCTTCATCACACTATTGGAATCAAATGATTCCAACATTTCTCTCGTGCACATCATCATGTGTCATTTATCAACCAATAGGATCATAGTACACTCGCGTGACACATGTGACTCCCTCTATGTGCTTCTACCAAACTATCTTTTTTCATTTGGCAGCGATTACGCTCGGACATCTCTTTTTTCAGGTTTGAGATCGTATTTTCTCGAAGTAGTTTAATTTAATTTAAAAATACTCCTTTTTTACATTATTTCAATTCATTTAGCCTTATTCCAGTTGCATTTCTTATTTACTTCAAATGCTTTTGTCGACTACGTCACCATGAATTCCAAAGTTAATGTCACCACTTCGGGTGTCACACAATGAACAGGGATTATACCACAGGCTTCATGTGCTGGGGACCTGATGGGAGAATTGTCTATGTTTTTTAGCAGGGAGATTGAGAGTTATATGGGTCAATCTTTATTTCCAGACCCTCTTCCTCCTGTACCTGTGGAACCTGGCCATGTTGACAAGGAATTTGATCGCCTGTTTCCACCTCCTGATTGTGCCATGCCTTCCCATACCTTCCCTGAGGATTTTGTTTGTCCGTCAATGGTTTTTTTCAGACTTTATTTCTCAGGTATGTGATATTTTATCCCTTGCTCCTATATCTTATGACCTGCGTTCTTTGTTATTTCATGAAATACTTCCCAATCCTATTTGGTGATTTCTCCATCCTCTGACATTCGGTTCATGCTGACCAATTCACCTCTCAGTTGGGCGATGGTGTTAGTATGCCTTGACCCCCACGGGCTTTGGATCAGTCAGCCCTTGCATTTCATAGGATGGTCTGTCCATATCTCAACCAATAGCTGTTGGGTTCTGTTTTGTCTGTTTGGTGGTCAAACCCTAAATCTGTCATTAGTCTTACCCTCATGACCAATTTTCCTGCCTCTGTCTTACCCTCACGATCTTTTTGGCAGTATCTTTCCACGATCCATATCCTTTCTGAGGCTCTTCACAAAAATCCTGAGGGATTTTCTGGAAATACCCTCTCTCTCTCTCCTTACCTCCTCATTGGCTTGTTTATTGTCTTCCTGTCTGGCTTTACATACATGGTATCTTTTTTCTTGGGACAGTTTAGGTCACGATGCTGTTTTATCGTGAATCTGTTTACCTGCTCCTTTTCTCCAGGATTTGTGTATGGCTCTGTTTTTAGGATGTTTCATCTTTGATGCAGTCCCAGAATCCTTGGAATCTCGGATGGCATCTGCCCAACAACACTCTACCATTTCCCATCTAGTTTTTCGTTTATTTCAGTCAGAACCAAGTGTGGTGCCTATTCAGTTTTGAGCCCTTACCTTCCCATCCCTTACTTGTATCATCTTCCCGCTTGCCATTTTTCTCGATGACACACGAAACACCACCAATAGTTCTGGTGATTACCTGATGGGTTCAAACCCGGTGGGAGCTTGCTTTGCAGCATTTGTTCATCAGTGGCGCACTTTCATCTTGGATGTTTGGATTCCTCAGATTTTGTCAGAGGGATTCGAAATTCCGTTTCTTACCCCACCTCCCTTCCCTTGTCCCAGGTACTTGTTTCCTGCCATTCTCCTCAGGATCCAGTAACTTGCCAGCATCTATCAGAGGCAGTACAGGACCTATTCACCCAACACGCTATAGAACCTGTTTCACATCATTCATTGGGGTTTTACTCCCTTCTGTTTGTTGTTCCCCAAAAGCCCGGGGAGTGGAGGCTTGTCATTGATCTGCCCTGCCTCAATTGCTTTGTTCACCTCCCATGCGTATCCATGGAGTCTTACCTCAGTCTTCAGTGGGATTTTTCTCTGGGTCTATGGATGACCAAGATGGACGTCTCCAATGCCTATCTGCATATTCCTATCTTGAAATGGTCTCGTCCTTATCTTCTGTTTGTCCACTGAGGGATGGTAACCATTTATGCCTACCCTTTGGGATGGCTTTGGTTCCATATGTTTTCTGTCAGGTGGTACAAGCTTTTGCTCTTCATTTTTATGCCCTGTGGGTGCATTTCCATTTTTACATGGACAAGTGGCTACATTTGGCCCATTCCAAAAAAGGAATCAGTCTGTCGTACTCGTCAGCTACTTCTCAAAGCTGCTCAGGTTGGCTGGTTTATCAAATTGGAGAAGTCCTACCCAATACCTTGTACAGCTGGGCCCAACCTTCTTCTCTCATACTCTGTTCAATGGAACTGTCAGTTTGCCATGCCCTGTCTACTCCTTGATTTTCTGCATGCAAGGCTCTTTTGCTTTTGGGGATATGGTCTTCTATGACACCACTAATCCCCTTCAGCTGCACACACATGGAATCCCTTCAGTGGAATCTGCATGATCAATGGAACCTTGCTCGGGTTCCCCTGAATACTCCCATTACCCTTCCTCCTTCCCTTGTAGACAATCTCTTTTGGCAATTGAACAAGACTCGCACATCGGCTAGTATCCAACCTCCTCTTCCGGACTTACATCTGTTTACGGTCGCAACCCTTCAGAGCTGGGGTGCATGGGTCGATCATCAGGAGGTTTCAGGTCATTGATCTCTAGACGAAAAATCCTTAAATATTAACGTCCTAGAGCTCTTAGCCATTCATTGGGCTTTGAATCACTTTCTTCTCATTGCCAAACATTGTCTGGTAGTGATCCATTCCGATGATTCCATGGTGGTGGCTTATATCAATCATCAAGGTGGCACCCAGTCGAGATCCCTCTGTTTTCGCATGTTGGATCTCCTGTATTGAGTCCACATTTGTTTCATTGTGTGTCATGTCCCGGGTGCTTTCAACCTTGTAGCAGATTGTCTTTCCCGCTCTGACAAGGTTTACCTGATGGAGTGGACCCCTTGATTTCTGGTGGCTTTGCAGTCTGTGCACTATTACTCACATCAATGCTTTTGCCTCCTCTTGCAATCACCAGTTACCCCTATTTCGGTCCCCAGTTCCTAATCTCAGGCTTTGGCTATAGATGCCTTCAGCCAGGATTGGGCACACAAATTCTTACAAGTTTATCCTCCCATCCAATTACTTCATTGGATAGTTTGCCTGATCCATGCCACTCTGTTTTGGGTCCTTCTGATTGCTCCCTACTGGCCAGCTCAACCATGGTTTCCTCGTTTACTCCACATACAATTTCCTTATTACCTGACCTCCTTCATCAACCCTGGTCACTGGTTTTATATCCCACACCTCATGTTTTCCATCTTCATTCCTGACTTTTGCCCAGTCTTGAAGAAATCTGGTTTCTTCCATTGTGTAGCTTCTCATTTAGCCCAATCCAATCATCCTTCTTCCATGGAAATGCACCAGCAAAAGTGGAAGGTCTTTCACACGTGGGCCCAGGCTCGGGATTTACTGGCTGCACATTCTACTGTTGCTGGTGTCTCCAAGTTTCTCACGTGTCTTTTTGACTGGGGGTCTTCAGTGTCCTCTGTTTCAGGTTATCAGGCAGTTTATCCTATACCTTTCACTTTTATAATTACTGCAGGACTTTTCTCTCACCCGTCTTTACCATGTTAATCCATTCCTTCCAGATTTGTCGACCTGCTCGACGACTTATCTTCTGAATTGAGATATTAATGTGGTTTACCTCTGTTCGAACCTATATCCTCATGTTCTTTATTTTACCTGTCTCAAAAGGTGTATTTCCTTCTCCTTTTGGCATTGGCGGTCTGACTTTTTCGCCATCGACGTTACACTCACATTTTACCACCATACCTATCTTTTCCTTTATCCCGATCATTCCTTCCTCCCCAAAACCTCAGCTGGTCGTGAGGGTAACTACTCCTTTTTGGCTATTTCCCTGCCCTCTATTTCTCATCTCTACCCCCGTCCTTATCCGGATAGATTTCTATGTCCTGTGTGTGTGTGTGTGCACCCTTCATTGTTATGTTACCTGCACGGTTTTCATCCGTGGTTCCCATTCCTCTCTCTTTTTCCCTTGGCAACACTCTTTCCCCTTTTACACTCATCAGTTAGGTTCCTCATTTCATACAGTTGGCTTATTCCTCCTTGTCCTCTTCCCAGCATACTTTGTACTGTGTTACCTCTCATCAAATCCAACCTTTTCCCTTGCTTCTCGTCTTCATCAACTTCTGGAGGTAATCTTACAATTGGACATGTGGACCAATCCTAACAAGTTTATCTCCCATTATTTACATCATATCACGGTTTTGGTTTCCTCTAGTTTTTGCTTTCCACTGTAGCTATACTCCAATCTTAAAAGTGCAACTCTAACACTGGAAATCTTTATTAATCATTTATTTTTTTTCAAGGACCCAATCTTTATACCTTCATTAGTTGGATCCTTCTCTGTGGCAGGTGGTGCCTGACCAGCTATTCTTTAACTCTAAATCCTCACTGTATGCCATGTTAAACAGCACTTCCTGTTCATGGCTACACACGCTCATCTTTGAAATGGGGTTTTTCACAAGATCACTTGTAGGTGAATAACCTCACGATATTTGCTTCATAAATTGGCATGTTCCATTGACTTCATGGGTAAAGCAGAAGGGGATAGCTACCCATTCCTGCCATACCTTGATTGAATATATTGGTGTGGTCTACTTTTTAAAATAGGGTTTTGTGATCACCCATTGCACTGTCTCGGATGTTGACGTTCCTCCAGACTCTCCAATGCATTCTTGCACTCCTTTCTTCTAGTGGAGTATGGGAGTCTTTACCACTTACCAGTTTCAAGCCACTAGGATGATTGACCATGAAGGCACCCTGCTGGATGGATTCCACTTAAGATGGCTATAACCATTCAGTTCAGAGTAGAGCAGTGGTGTTCTGCTTTTGTATATGGTTTAATATCCTCTGATTAATGATTAAATACACAACGGAGTGAGGCGTCAAAATGCAGTTCACCCCTTTGATTGGGAGCCCTCTTTCTACCCTCACGTGTATGTCAGTCCCAAAGGCTGGTTTTGGTTTTCGAGTGAACCAATCAACATAAGTTCTCACCACGGTTTCAAGTTGTCTATGTTCCTCCCTCGAATACTCCTTCTGTGTTGTGTGTCACAGTGGAGATATGTGGGACCCTTCTGGTTCTATCCTTGGCACTTCCTCATTCTCCCTTCTTACATGAATGTTATTGCCCTTTGGATGGTTCCGACCTGTTTCACGGTCTCGGGAGTTGATCGCATGCGATAGACTTTCTTTAATAACGGATGTCCCATTCCCGGATCGATAGTTCAGAGCTCATCCTGTGTAATACACAATATTTGGAGTTGTTCTGAATTCCCCATTTCTTGAGTTTGAAGTGAAGACTGTATGATTCACATTCTACCCTCGTGCGGATGTCAGTACCCCTAGCCACTACACCACTACTTTCTATCGCTTTCTCTCCCATTAGGATGTGCTCCTCTAATTTTCTGCCCTGATTTTTATACATTCTTCAACTGGGTGAAGAGTATACCTGGATCAGAAATGGTGTGGTTTCCCTCTAAAGATCTTCGAATCTGACTCTCTCATCTACAGGGGTGTCCTTCAGATGCTTTAGGGGGGTACGTCTATTCTTCTGTCACACCGGTCCCTCCTCCTAATCAATGTGGGATTCTGGCTAATCTTTTGAGAGGAGTGAAGTACCGTATGGGAAGTTATACCTTTCCTATACTGAAAATGTATTTCCAATAAGTACTTCCCTCTTTTCACACTTCCCACCCTTCCTCCCCCACTCACTTCCGTCATCTGCCAAACTTCGAAGAAATAGTTCGGTGGTGGCACATAGAGAGAGTCATATACGCCACGTGAGTATACTATGATCCTATTGGTGGATAAGTGACACATAATGATTTGCATGACAAACACGTTGGAATCATTTGATTCCAATAGGGGATGCAGAAGGCTTGTGACATGCTTAATAAAAAAAAAGTTCACATATAGAGGGCATCAATGAACGAGAATAGCTAATCTTATGAGAGGGGGAAGTACCTATCAGAATACATTTTCAGTATAGGAAAATTATAACTTCTCTAATTGTGTAAATAACTGTGTTCAATTGTATTTTGGGGTTGAAAAAATAAATCAATGTCAACATATTTCCTCAGATGATGAAATCAGTTAAGTGGAAAGTGTGTCACATCTAAAGTACTGTATACATTTGTTGTTTCAAGGTTTTACAAAGATTAGAATATCTTGCTTATTTCTTGAAAGATTTTGAGAAGAGAAACTATTTTAGTATAAAAGGAAGTTAATATTAGAAAATATTCCATACTATAGAGCACAAATGTCTGATCTGTGTATTTGAAATTTATTTACTGCCATTTGATAATGTGTGACATATGTACATGCACACAACTTATTTAATTATAAAGATAACAATTATGTTCATTTTAAGGAAAATAACCATAGTCCAACAGTATCTCCCTACTTTGGAAAATTGTTTAAAAATACCATTCATAATTGCCCTCATTAAAAATTATCGAGCATGCAAACGTTGAAATATAAGAGCTGGTGTGGAGTGAGAAAGAGTGAAATAAGTATCCTGTTAGCTACGTTTATTAACGAAAGGTATTGAAAACATAATTTGTATAGGAAAACATAAGAACTGTGTTGGCCTTTTTTAAGTCAGTTAACAAACAGATTTGTGCTTTTTACCCCCACCCTCCCACCTTTCTTAATCAATGAAATACAACAAAGCAAACTTACTTTTAAAAATAAAACTTTATTTAGAAAATCACATTTTATTCAATTGAAACAAAACCCATTAGAAGTTGAAATAAATTTTTATTTTAAGAAATATCCACACAAAACTATATTTGTTTTATTAGAAGGCAATAAAAATAACTTAAATCTGATCTTGAATTTAAAAGTTAACTTACAGCTTCATAGGGATTTTGGGTGCAGTATGTCTTTAAAAAAGACCTTAATAATCAATAAGTGGTAAGCGGCTGTTTTAATTTACTATATATTTCCATTGCACCTGCTTCCTTTGTTTAGTCCCAGAATTATAAAATTTATGAAATTTCTATACAACATACCAAATAAAAAGAGAATTTCAAAGGTTAAAAACAAACTACTAATTTCTCAATAAACAAAATTCTTCAGATAAACTTTACTCCCCCCCCCCCCAAAAACCTAATATTCATGTAAAAGATATCAACCTGATTACTGACTAAAACATTTAAAACTTGCATTTTATAACTGAATCTTGAAAGTTGGCATCGAGAGATGCTAGTAAACCATTACAAGGGAATAATGGTATAGGCCAATGAATAAATTGATTTTATATCGCAAAAAAGATACCAAGAGCAACATGGAGTCTTCGAATGATGTGTATTTGTTTTTCTGATATAAGTTGATCATCGTCCTCTGGCGATGACAAATCTCTGTTGTACATTCCTAGCACCATTGTTTATTTTAATCATGTGACATTAAACTATATGCGATTTCATTACATAATTTCGATACAAAACGTTATTTACATTCAATGATTGTTATGGTAACCACACGATCTTGTATATTTGTATGTTATTACCAAGTTGAAGTTCGATCCAAGTTCGTTGTTCGTTTTCAGCTTTTGAATAATGAACAAGGGACCAGCTCTTTGTTCGTTTTCGAACTCTTGAATAAGGTAAATATTGTTCATTGTATTTTCCACTCATTTTCTTTTGTTTCTTGAATAAATAGAAAATATATTACAAATGAAATGGTTATTATTTATGTGACCGTGAAAGGGTTGACTATATAATTATATCAAAGTTTTTGCATAATATAATAAACACAGATTCTTGTGATTGCAATTTACAAGAACCATTTCCATATACTGTGTATTTGGTTCATGGTGAATCCTGGCCATTTGCCAAAGTAATATAGCCACCGATAAACTTAAGGATGAAGGTCTTGTCACAATTCTTTCCAAGGATAGGCAAGCGTATAGTGACATTCAGAGCCAAAGGGCACATTAAATGTTTTTATGAGAGAGATGGCCAAATAAAACAATCACAACAGTCCCATTCAATCTCGTGCAGCTCAAATAACATTTACCCATTTGGTCTACTTAAATATGGTCTTGAATTTCAACGTTTGTTTAAAGGTTTGCCAACATATGTGATGTAAGATTGACTTCACCATAAATCCAATTAAACATGATGTATTCACGTACATATCCATAGATTACTTTTAAGGTACAATAAACTTGCATTATCTATGTTGCTTGAGTAAGAGTTGTTTTCATTCACTAGTAATACTATACATGGGTATGCATAAACATTAACACTAGCTAAATATTTAAATATGGCAAACGGAAATGAATATTGATAGAATATTTTCTGAAACAGTTTTTCTAATCTACCATATTGAAAAATGTAAACGTGGCATAGCCATCTCAATGTGATATAACATTTTGAAATGTTGTTCAGCCATCCTGGAGGGGACCTCTTTGGCCATTCAATTTCTGACAGATTAGGCTAGGAAGGACCCTCCATGACTATCATACGGTTTTAATTTAAAGTCCTACTACCACATCAAGAAGTGGTCCTACAGCTTTTGTTTTGTATCAGCTGAAAATAGGAGATTATTTTGGTAGACAGTGATTACAAATGTACAGAGAAAACTAAAATGATAATACAGTGGGTTTTACGAAAGGTATTTCATTAAATGCCAAGAATCCAGGCAGCCTTAAGCTTATAGGGCTTTGACCAGTACCATAGTTTTCTCCAGAAGTTGGCGTTATATCTGATCCTACCTCTCTCCCTAAATGTATATATGTATTACATTTGGCTACAACATCAAGCATGATTTGTCTGCATACAATAAGTATCCCTGTGTATCATTTGACCAATCCACGTGTTTTTGACATCCTGCTAATACTTTCTATGATTTGTTGCTACTCTGCATTGACTTTTCTGTTTACTGACTTCTAGCCAATCTATTGCTCTCTGCATCGTAAAGATGTCCCAATGTCTTCTTTAAGGTCCTGGTATGTTTTACTATCAATCTGGATCTCTTTACACGATATTGTTTATATACTACTGAAGTGAGTATGTCAAAGCACATAACTGGTCACCTGAGACATGTTTTGAATGCAAAAGAATTCGAGGAGTGTCGTTCATATTATGTCATAACATTAGTTGTGCCTGGTTATAGCTAGAATATAGAAAACTCCCATTATTTCTTAAATGTTCTGACCAGCATGTTAACACTAGAAGCATCACCCAAAACAAATATATTCTTTATTTTGATTGTCAGTGGGGATTTTTCTCCCCTTTGTATTTGTAACTTTTACAACCATAGCTTCGTGTGAAGTATTTCATACAAAGCCTACACTTTGGGATTATTTACGAGATTTCCAGTAAGCAAAGATAAATTACTACATGGAGCACAAGTTACTGAGTATTAAGCATTAAACTCTCCACACTCATGAGCTACTCATAACTATTGCTAGTTATTCATAAGATACTCTAAAGTATTATGATTCGCATGAGATCTACTCACAAGTAATGCAAGATATTCGTATACATTTAAACTTCAAGATACTTTTGACACTGTTCATATGTTAAATTATACAGAAGTTTCATATACTGATTTTGGAGCCTCACCACATCATTGCAGCCGATGTTGTCATGCTCTGTCTGACGACCTTGAACATTGACAATAGCCCTGCATCATAGTTCCATTGCAAAAGGTCTGTCGTGAAGCTGTCATATCCAAAGCACACCCATCCTCAATACATGTACCTGTTTCAATAGTCCAACTATTCTCTAGTAAAATTACAACCCTGTTTGAATTTTCTCTGATATCATTCGGTGTTATATTTACATGAATGTGTACAGAAAACTGCTACTGCACATTCACAATGAAGTGTGATGCTCCCTTGTATCTTTAGCCTTACATTATGGAAAGCTCAAACTATCCCTGCTTGGGAATTCCGAGGGCACTAGCCACATCACAAATTGACTACTAAATTTCTGTAGCTCATAACGGTACAACACACTGTCATGCCCTACTAGACGACAATATAAATGTTATAACCATCAGTGATGTATTTTCCAGTTAGTGGCAGTCATGCTTCACAGTAAGTAGCACCCAAGCTATATCTGGATCTTTCAATACTTTTCCAGAACTTGTAATTACTTATATATGCTGCCTATACATCAGCAGAACTATTTTAATGGTACATGTCACTTGCTGCTCTGAAGTCTTCGAGTGTCACTATGGGAACTTTGTGGAGAAGTTTAACCAAGGTTTCCAGAGTGAAATCATACAAAGCATGTGGTGTTTGAGACACCTAAACCATACATAGGCAGATTCTGTGGCATCCATATGTGCATTGATAACTGCAAACGGATCACAAGAAGGGACAAAACCCATAATTCAGCTTTAGTGGCTTGTTCATAGAAAGTTCGTGTGATGTTTGCTCCCTGAATCCTTCTTCCACAAGTACATTTCATTGCCTCAGTATCAGACTTATCAAGCCCTATCATGATGGTTGTGCCTCAGTAGCAGGTATTTGCCCCCACAAAATATTCTAGGTAGAAGAGTGTGTACTACAACTGTGGAGTAAAACTGTCCATATTTCTCTTCCACACAAGATAAAACGAGCATTCTGTTCCTGCTGTAGAGTTCAGTGGAACAGAATGCTCTTTTTATCAGCAGGTGATGGAATGGGGTAAACAAGCTGTTTGTGCTGCACCTTTTGCTACATTAAAACAGAGAAGAAAAACTCGTAAAGCTTTGCAGTACAAGTTTGGTGTAGAGACATGTTGCAGTTGGATGTTTTTTGGGAGCAGTCGCCAACAGTAGCTTTAGTCTTGGTGCATATGTCATATAGCAAGATGTGCAGACCAGTTCAAGGGCCAAGCAGTAACTAAACAGCATCACCAAGACTGATTTCTTGGTTGGTCTTTGCATCCTGAAACACTTGGCAGTTCTACATTCTTTGTGACTGGCCCGTAGAGAAGAAAGGAATGATGTGATAACTGCAATAGAGTTAGTGGATTATGTACTATATATTCTATAACAACTAAAGAACAGCAGCGATACAAAATTTACACTTTGTTCTCCAAAGTTCAAAACATGGTAGTTAAGTTTGGTTTTGAAGCACAAAAGCCACATGCAACTGGCAAATTATACTTCAGAGCTAATGCTGAGATCTACTCCATACCTGAAGTTGATGCAGTGTTGCTAGACCTCAGGAGTCGTTTCAAACGACAGCGAAACGCATTCAGTATGTATGCTTTTTATACAAGCAAGGTAAGAAATACTGACTGGAATCCGCTGAAACCAGGCTGGGAGAAGTATATGTCTGTATTAGATTACTACACAGAAGATCAAGTAAAGGCGCAGTTTAATGTGTGGTCTGCAATGTTTCACCAGCGATATGAAGGCAAGACGGTTGATCTAGATTACTCTGCTATTACTGCTCTGAATGATTGTTCTGTTGATGTATTCCCGAACATTTCGTGCCTTTTGACAGCTCTCGCATGGCTTGCAGCTGAGGCTGAGAGAATTTTATTGAAGGTGAAGCCACAATAACAGCTCTGTGCAGTAAAATGTCCGAGGACAGATTTGAAACTTTGATATTACTACAAGCTCACTAAGAGATATTAACTGACACTAATGATGTAATTCAATTTTTTTAAACGTGTATTTAACCTTGACTTCAAATTACCCCCTGACTTTAAGAAAAAGGAAACACAAATATCAGTGAGGATCAGTGCTTCTTTTATCAAAAAAGATACAAAAATTTAATAAATTTATTGGTGATACAGTTTTTCATTAAATGAAATGGTCTTGTACCACTCCATATCATATAATGACATTTTAACGATGTTATTAGTTGATCACAAAGACACATCCAACAAAAATCATTCTGTTTCTTTATCTTACTATTTTAAATATAATATGAGAGAGAAATTTACTTAGTAATAACATTAATTTTGATCTATTTCCAACTTAATACTACAACTCTACATCAACCTTAAGAAACTAAAATTGGAATTACTTTTTGTACTGTATATAGTGAGTAACAATAGATTATAACACATTGATAAAGGTTAAAAGATGTGGATTGAGAATCTTCGGCAATAGATATGACGAATATAGTGAGGTTGACATACTATCATTGTACACTCTTTCTAATTTTTGAAAATCCTTAATGGACTGAATTAAGAATGTAGTCTTAATTTATGTACTGAAGGAGTAAATATTGAAAATGATTTTTACAAGGGAGTTTTGTAAACAAGTTTTCTCAAGTTGATTAGTTCTGTGCCACTTTCGGTACATTGCCGTCGTTTTGGTGGCTTGTTTAAAATCATGACGACTAGACGATGGTCAGTATTTATATTTACGTTGAGTATAGCTTTTAAGTTCCTGACTCTGGGACAGTCTTATCAAAATGTCATTTATCTGTGGGGCTCGGGTAAATGTGTTACATTCGTAACGTGTGGCCCGGCATAGCCAGGTGGTTAGGGCGCTCGACTCGCAATCTGAGGGTCGCGGG